TTTTTCATTCTGAGTGCTGCTGACCTCTACACAGACTTGGTGAGAGTAATGAAACTTGTCTTGCTTTCCCGATCCTCACTTTAGTATTCTCGTCAGTTCCGTCCACCTTTAGTTGGAACGATGCTTCCCTTGTAGGTAGGTAAAGGAAGTTACTTCTTTCAGATTCCTCCCATTTATGCTGATTTTTGTCTGTTGTTGTTGTTGCTGTTGGCCAGGAATCGTCATCACCTACATCAATTTCCTATATGCTCATCTGAAGGCCTATCTTCTCCCATGCTTCTTCTGCCAACTTGTCGGTTTTCACTCGCATATCTTCCATTTTGTGGGAAATCAGACATATATATATCATCAGCGAAATCTAGATCCTCCAAGTTTTTTGTGTGGGTCCATTTAATACCTGTCTCCTCGCTGCCCGCGCTGTCTGTCGCATTATCCAGTCTACTGCAATCAGGAAAATCACTAGAGATAGTAAGTAGGCAGCCAGCTTGTCTTACTTCCATCTTCACTTCTTCGAAGGATTCCATGAGTTTCCCCCTTGCGGATTACTTGGCATGCAGCACTATCATTTAACTGTTGGGTGAGATGTATAAATGTTGGTGGCACCCCGTGGTAGCGAAGTAGTTTCCAAATCACCTCTCAATCGACGCCGCCTTTTTAAAGTCAATGAAGTTGACTGAGGTAGAGACCTGACTACCACTGCAAGCTCTGTTCAATGATGATCCGTAGTGTTGCGATTTGATCGATGCATGACTTGTAGACATGTAGACAGAAGATATATCTAAAAAGTTCACTAAAATTCTATCAAAATAACTTTAACAACTCCAAGAAAATAGTCGTGTAAAACACAAAACTACAAATAGCAAGATAATTATAATTCTCAGTGTTCTCTATGAACCTATCTAAATTTCTAACAGTGTAATAATGAGCTTTCTAACGGATACTCTTTTTCTTCATTCATACTGGAATGCAGCTAATTGCATCCAACATTTCGATGAGTTGTTAAAGTATCTAAAACTTCAAATGAACAATTATTTGTACAGAGTTATCTTAATATGCTTTAGTAGATTCTTAAATCTATTTTTTATTTTTGATTACAGCTTGATTCCACACCGTAATTTTGGTACAGGTATGGAACTTCCAGCATGTGATATCGGTAGCCCAAATTTTGCAGGCCAACCATTGATATCAGGTATGCGTCGGCAAGGGATCGAAACCCGGACCATGTGCATGATCGGCGAGAGTCATAACCGCTGTGCCACCGACTCACAGATACAGTTAGCCCTCAGGCGCCCATTGACTGACAGACACACTGTACACTTACTGAACTTTGTTTCATGATAACTACAATCATATATGATGAAACGAATACGTAGATTTAAAAACGAAATCTTCAAGCTGAAATGAAATAATGATGCACTTTTGCTGACCTAATGCATTTAAGGCAACTGGAGAGCTGATACTGTCCAGTTCGAACCATCTTGCTGCAACCAAACCAAGGGACATAATAATTGTAAATAAACAGATGTACCGAACAAGTAATTCCATATTAGTTTGTTTATTAGATGTATCACACAGTGAAACTGTATTATTTACTAGATGACACAGTTTCGAACAAAATTTATTATTGTTCATAATCATTTCATCAATTATAATCACACAACTTCGAAACTTGAGTTTTATAGTTTTCTTTGTTCTCTCCTATTTGTCGTCGTTGGAGTTGTAGAATTTTCCAGATATCTGGGACAGGTGTTGAATTATTCCTATTACACGTGTTTGCAGTTGATTCGATAAACAAAGCTTCTGTTATCAATCTCTCCCTCCACCCAACTGTTACATTAGATTTTAAAACTATCATCTTGTCCCATCCATCCTATTGTATGGTTGTGTGTATTTGTATGTAGTGAGTGGTATAGCTGAACCATTCTCTAGATTTCTTATCTTATTCGAGTCAACCAATCTAGATTTTGCTAGGTTTTTATGTTCTACCGTAGTGCCCAAGTTTTACACATATATTAGTACCGAAGAAGCTTTGAATGACTAATAAATTTCTTAAATCAGCTTGGAGAAAATCTGTCTAAAAATGAGTTATACTTAACAATCTTGAAAAATTTTAAATTTTCGTTCCTAAAGGATTGTTCAATTCAATAGTTCCTGAATGTATTTGATTTTAGTAATCAGTGTTTACAAAAGGACCACCATCATTTACATATTTCCTATCAATTAAAATTCAACAAACCGTTTCCTTCATACAGATGTGTCCTGATTATTTGATCTGAACGAAGCGATTTCTTTCTGACATATGTAGGTAGGCCACTACTGCGAAGTAAGTATTTTCGCTTAATTTTCAGTCATCGCCCATTACACCGAGAGTTACTCAGACAGTCAAGTCGACGATTAAAATGAACCCGCATCTTTGCAAAACCAAACAATCTGAAGTAGGAATAACAAAATTGAATAAAATCCATTTGCGAAATTTCCTCTGCCTTTCTCACATAAACTTTATGTTTTCTAATCACGATATACATTTGACACCACAAATGACAATCAACTGGTGAGCATTTTTCAGCTTTATTTATTGGTGTTAGCTGTTCTCAACTACTAATATTGGTACGTTTTAAACATGTCACAGCTCTGATTATTCTCCCTAAATGATACGATATGTACATAAATTTAGAAAGCGATTAAGTCTTCACGTTTCTAATTAAATATAGTTTAGCGGTAAATTTAGGGTTCATTGTGAAAGCATAAGTTCGAAACACTATGCATTAAATTCCCGCAGAACATTCACCCTGAGCCCAAAGAGCTCAGTGGTAACGTCTATGACTGAAGTGGTGTATGACATGGGTTCGAATCTCCAAGGAGACATGATTTTGTTGTCAAGTGCCGACAAGCATGAAACCTTAGCTCAGGGTATTCTACCGATTACCTCCAACGGTCTACAATTATCTTTCACTGTTAAATGATCTTCCTACTTTTGATATTCATTATCAAACTGTGTCATATAACTACATTTCTTTTCTCAAAGGTTGACATTAAACCCAGAGCTCATTGGTGAAGTCACTAATTAACGCATAAAAGTGAAGGCGGACTGGAAGACTACTGCGTACTCATCTAATCAATTCTTAAAGTAAACCTGACTTTTGAAAAATCATTCTGTATTCGTCAGCGTTAGAACTCATAGGTCTCATTTATTCTATTTTATTCCAATCAGCATCTTCATTTCATAAGTCCGAAAGTAACTGACAAGTGATTCTATCTTTACAACTAAGACTTGAAGCTTCTTCCGATAAAATGGCCAGACTCTACACCATAATCCTTCAAGAAGAATAGCTTGAAACAATACAAAGCCAATGTGATCATTGAATAAAAAAGGATGTACTTTGATTAGACACTACCCGCTACAGTCCTACAGGAGGTCAATCACAAGCCCGAATAGCTCAGTGGTAACGTCTCTGATTGCAGCTATCACTGGGTGACGCAGGTTCGAATCTCAGAAGGGACATGAGTTCCTTCAAGGTTGCAGATACGCCTTGCGGACGAGTGAGTGCCAACTAGCACGAGACCTAGGTGGAAGGCTTCCTGCCGATTACCTCTAACTATCTAATATCATCAAAGGATATACTGTATTTCGAGTCATTTTGAGTATATAATTTCGATTTAATGAATTATCCTGAGAACAGATATGTCAAGCTATTTAAAATAAGACTGCCAAAAGATTTAACGAGCACGTAAACTCGAATTAAACAGAGAATTTCACTAGTAAATTCGAAGGTAGTTGTGGCTTAGTAGTAGAACACTCGCCAACCGCACTGGAGATCCGAATTCACTTCCTGGCTTACACACTACCAAACTTCAATTAGTTTACTAGTCGACTGCAAGCCCAGAAATGAGAGGAGGTTGGACACTACACTAGTTATCCCACCATGGAAAAATTACATCAACTCCATTGAAACTTCAGTGTTTGGAGCCCTATGTTCCACTCAGAAGGCAAGGAATAGAAGAAAAGTGATGAAGTTAAATCCATACTCACCATCTTCTCAGAAGCGATATCCTAACTTTGCAAGTCTTTTATCACTCTTACAGATAAGAGTCCTGTCTTTTTCAGTAAGTACCACAGCTCGGTCGGTTTCCGACATAGAACTTTGCACATATGTGTGGCAGTTCAAATCGCCACACTCCATGTAGCACACAAAGCAAGAGAAGAAAGTAGGAGAAATGCATAATATAGACAGTAAACAGATGTGTGAGACAAAGGAATAGTAATAACGGAGAACAATATAGTTTCATTGGAACGATGAGAACGATTTTGAGCCATATCACCAATTGTTTCCAGCCACCATTGGTTTTTACCGTCCCGAGGACCCAAACCAGGAAGTCTACACCATCCTACGTGGCCTAGACTAACTGTTGTAGATTTCATTGACTGGTGCCATGTTTTGGTTTGACCGCCGCTAGCTCTTTTCCAACCTGACCCTATATCAGCTAACATTGCCCATTGTCGAGGAAGGCGATGACTAGGCAGGCATACGTAACACATGTCCCAACCATCTCAGTCGATGTAGTTTCACAGTCTCATCGATTGATTTCCCCGCCTTACCTAGCACTCCACGCCTTACCTCAATATTGCTCACCTTATCATACCACTTCTCACGGGAGATAGAACGCAGACACCTATGATTGAAGACAGCTAATCTTTTCATATCTTCTGCTCTCATTGTCCAGGTCTCACAGCTAGCCATAAAGGAGGATGGAGCGGACTGATGAGCAGTACACACGCCCTTTGATCGATAGTACCACAGCTACTCATAATCCAGTCCAACAGGCTGAAAAATAGTTCAAACTTATACATTAAACTTACTGCAGTATTTTACAGAAGAAATGATTGTAGAACCACTTTATTATATGATAAAGTTACATAAAAAGTAAGTCATAATGGTTTATTTAAAAATATAATTTAGTTTGACTCGGTTTACAAAACTTCTGGTTAAATTAAAATGGAATCAAAAAAAGGAATACTTATCACCATTCTCATCGATCAAGATTCGATAAAGATAAACTGCCCAGTGTTGACTGAAATGTGCAACCGATGTTTCGTTTACTTGTAAACTTTCAGATTGAACAAATTGATAACTAACATGTCGCCAGGCGTCTTTTTCATAATCATCAAATTTATTCTGGTTGCATCCCACATTTGAATATCTTCTAGGCTTCAGATCTGGAAAGAGTTCTCTACAGGAGAATCGTCTACAAGGACGCTGATTCTTCTTTTTGACTGGAGTATCAGTTACTGGTGCCGCTGCTGCTGCTGCTGCTTTATCGTCTAGTGATAAAGTAGCCAGACTAATTGGTGATTGAGATTGATTTCGACGCACCATTTTACAAGTAGACGGAAGTATCGGAGAATCCAGAGAAACTTCTGAGATGGGTTTTAAGTATACAGAAACTTTTCCGGGTTTGGTAATATTTTTCAAGTCACTCAATGGTTTTCTATTCATATCCTAGCAAAGGGAATAAAGTATGACTTTCTTCATAAAGTAACTACTGAAAACAAACAAAAACAGTAATACATATTTTAATGTGGATTTCATCACGAGCTAACATAAGTTAGTTGTTGAAAACCAAGGAGTTTGGGACCCTTCAGTAGTGTATACTTACGACTCAACCGGGGATCCAGCCCAGAACCTCCATTATGCAAGACTAAGCTCACTGGTTGGCTATTCAGCCAATTAGGATGGAATTCACTGATGAGGAGTCCCAAACTAGGACGAAACGGCTGTCCAGTGATCCTTGACTAAAAAAAAAGACGGTTGCAGTGAAGAAAGCTTTCTTTTCGACGAAGTGTGTGTGAGAAAGCTCCAGATCTATCTGCATTGCTAGATCTGGTTGCTGTTTTTTATTTTTATGCATATCCGATCTCCCTACCTATTTTGTTGTTACTACGTCCTTAATCCGTAATTCGTATAAACAGTCAAGTTTTTTTAGTAATTATGACCTTACTATGTCATTATTACATTTTGTAATTTTACTAAGTTGACCTTTGACCTGAAATGTTTCAAGAACAGTACTATAACCTGTCTATCTTACCATAGTCTGTATCCGATCTTCTTGTTGATGACATTTTGTTATTTTATTAATTTAACCTTTTACTTTCTCACACACTTACTATAAATACATGAATACAAGAAAAGAAAATTTCCTTCACTTCAATTGTCTTTTTTAATAATTCCAATTATCCGATGTGTATATTCTCTCTCCCTGATGTTGTTTCGTGACGGAATCCAAATTCAAATTAATGCAAACCCTACAAAAACCCACAGTCTAATTAAAATTAATCTTCAAAGTGAAAAAAAATTAGTGAGAAAATGAGCACTGGTTTTCGTTTAGTGATACTCTCTAAATTAGACGTACACTTTGTCAAACACTATCAATGATCGCGCCAGTATATTATTATTATTATTTTCTTTAATTCCTAGAGGAACATAGGGCTTCAGCTACACGTCTCCATTGAGTTCGGTTCTCTGCTGCAGTCTTCACCTGGCTCCAAGTTTGCCCACACGTTTTCATCTCATCTTCACATCACCTCCTCCAAGTCACCCTCGCACAGACGACCAACTCGCCGCTTCCCTATCGGGTTCCACTCCAGCAATGGCTTGTCTAGTGATGTCACTTGATAGTTTCCTAAGAGTATGGCCAATCCATCTCCATTTCTTCCTGCTTATTTGTTGCACAGTCGGTTCCTGGTTTGTTTGCCCCCAGAGACCCCTGTTGCTGATCTTTTCTGGCCATCTGATATTGAGGGGCATTGAGCGAAGGCAGCTGTTAATGAATATGTGTAGTTTGTTTGAGGTGCTCTTTATGACGCGCCAAGTCTCCGATCCGTATAGTATATTTCTGATGCTGAGTGCTGTTGACCTCCACACAGACTTGACAGAAATGAAAGCTTGTCATGCTTTCCCGATCCTTGCTAGACAAGCGCCAGTATATAGTGTGGAAAAAAGTGGTTGTCACGTAAGACATTTTCGTTAGCTGGTTAAGCAGACAGAAGACACTGAATCTGGCATAATATTTTTCAACTGTCTGGAGGTGAGATAACCAGTGGAGAAGTAACGAATGTTTAAATAACTTCTATCTGATGAAAAAAATTTCTGATGGCTAAGATCATGCTACATTCATAGATCCCTATCTAAACCAAATCAGGACACCTAGCCAGGTCCCAGTGTTGTATTAATTGTCTTTCCATGGGAAATGTAGAGTGCTGTCGAGACAAAAGATAGTAAACTAAGCATACTTTAATTGAATTTTAGATTTTCCCGTCGATTGATTGGACCGAAGTGCTCGGTCTCAGCCTAGGTGGGAACATCATCAATCACTGAGAAATGCTGGTATATCCAGCCGACGAGTCCCAAATAGGACGGAATGCGCATCCTGGATTCCACTGCTAGTCACCATCCACCAATTAAAAACCAGGCATACTGTGGTATATATCTATCTCAAGTTCAACTTTACTCAATAAAAAACGTGTAACAATACTGTACGCTTCGAAAACAGCAGTATCATATAGTGATAATACAATTTAAACTGTAAGCATCTACTTTCCACATGACAATATTGAACTTTATTTTCACTTTCAAAAGAGTGGAAATTTGAAAAACATATTTGTTTTCATTGAATTCTAACACCGTGATTCAGATTTGTAAGTAAGTATTAATTTGAGTTGATCACGGATTGTTATCAGTTACAGAACCATTGGAAACCACGGAGTACTCCGGTTTTCCAGATCAATTATCTAAACTGGGCAAACCTCATGTACACATACACCTAAATAATTATGTATAAATGCGATTGTACAGCTATGTGAATGAATTCACCGAAAAGAGTCTCTTCACTGAACGTCTTATCTTTTTCAAATGTGGAATTCTCAATATGTAGTTGAATGTTATATCTAATTTACTCCTTACATCACATTAGTTAGGGGAAATAATTAAGAAGGCATTTATATCGATAATCATATCAATAGGTTTCTGAATTTAAAATTATTAATATTAAGTAGAAACAGCGGCAACATTGTATCGATAATAGAAAGAATAAAAAGTGCCGTTTACTTAGTTTTTCTCATACCTAACACTTTTCTCGCCACATAAAATGCATACCAGATAAGGTATCATAGAGTTTTCATACTTAGTCATCCAAGTATCAAGTCTTTTACAACTGCTCCTAGTACTACCAGATGAGATACATGGGGAGAGTTGTGAATAAAAGGGATGTTCAAAATCCGATAAGATGATATTTGCCAATTTCTTGTATGAGTTCCAATGTTTTTCTAATTCATGAAAAATTCCCATTCGAACATTAATAGACAGAAGACAAGTAGTTCAGCGAAGAGTCTCTTTTCGGAGGCGAATTCATTTTCATAGCTGTACAATCGCAAATATACATGGCTGTTTTGTATGTGTGTTTACATTAAATTTGTCAAACGAAAATACAATTAGTAAGTTCAGATGAATTGAATGTTGATATAAGAGGGTAGTAACAAAAGTGATGAGATGTCACAAACGATTGTTAAAGAAGAGTTACGTGATGGGGTGAATAATTTGATGAAAGAGTTGTGGTCAGGGTGTACATGGAAACAAAATATACGGAATTACACAAGGGTTTTAAGTAGAAAAATAAGCTACAAACAAAAGTTAAGTCAAATCAACGGAGTTGTTACCATGAGAGTAGAAGTGGTTGAATAATTTTCTTTTGTATGCACAGTTCTGGTTCCTCCAACTGAATGGCTAGGGCTCCTGCGATGCATCGCAGACTTTGCTTTTGTTTGTAGCTTATTTTTCTACTTAAAACCCTTGTGTAATTCCGTATATTTTGTTTCCATGTACACCCTGACCACAACTCTTTCATCAAATTATTCACCCCATCACGTAACTCTTCTTTAACAATCGTTTGTGACATCTCATCACTTTTGTTACTACCCTCTTATATCAACATTCAATTCATCTGAACTTACTAATTGTATTTTCGTTTGACAAATTTAATGTAAACACACATACAAAACAGCCATGTATATTTGCGATTGTACAGCTATGAAAATGAATTCGCCTCCGAAAAGAGACTCTTCGTCGATTTACTTGTCTTCTGTCTATTAATGTCTTTCCATAACAGTATTAAAGAGTTGGTTTAGCGACATACCACTCGCCCTGCTGACAACATTTTGTGACATTCACAATGTAACAAAGTCTTTCTTAAGTAACCCAGAAAATATTAAGAGGTAAAAAATAAAAAAGAATATGTAGAATGCAAGAATTTACAAACAGTGAGTGACACCAGACTGTTCCAATTTCCTTACGTAGAAGCCGAGACAACATATTCTTCTAGAAATTAATACGATGTGAGAAGACCAGGTATTTAACATTCAACTTAGTTTCAACTTCAGTGTCACCTAAAATAAAAGAATCATGGGAACGAACCAGTCCACGTGAGTTACTCTTGAAACTAACGATCTGACATTTGAAGGCATTTAGCCTAAGACCATTTGACAAGGATCACTGACTAATTTCTTGATAAAAAGCTATTCATTTTGAAACAATCTGACTGAAATGTGACTGACGTAGAGAAAGTCAGATCATCTGCTTGCTAATTGATGACTTCAGTAGATTTTCTTCACCTTAGCTTAAAGAAAGTATCTTCGAAAGTTACCACTATCACACACATACTGTCGAGTTACAATAAATCAACTTAAGAATGACCAGTTTAACACCGACAGAATGTTTCAGTTGGCTAAAATATCCTGCAATAAAATTACGTTAAAATCAATTAGACTTTAAAATACAAAACTATGAAACAATCAGTAATTCACTTACTGTTTGTTAATCAACAATTAATGGCAAACTGTCACCAACGTAACTGGTACAAAACTATTTTAAATGACCTACTGTTTTATTCTAATAACAGTTAATCCGTTCGTAAATAAAAAAACAGTTCAAAATGTCTGTAATTGGTTGATTTAAAAAAAGTAATGACATAATATATGTTGTCTAGATCAGTTGAACGTTGATCCACATTGCTCAGACCTTCATTTTCCACCACTTAAATAAAATTCTACTACATATAAATACATACATACATACATACGTGATTCTGTGGTTACGTCAACATGTGACAAGTCAGTTAATTGTCATTTAAATATCTACATAACTTTGGGCAGGACTTATTAAAATACAATGAATACAACTCAGTGTTACGTCACTCTTTTCGGTATACTTCAGTCTATCATAAAGGCTAAAGGATAGAGTCTAAATCGATTAAAATCATGCATCTAGTCCATTTTCACCTCCATGTCAGGTGTTTATCAACAAAATATAACAAATTAGTATATTTTGAAAGGATGTTATCACATCACTTCGTCCCAGTTTGGGACTCCTCAGGAGGGAAGCCAAGACCGATTCTCTGATCAGTCATTATCTCGGTTGAAATTCAATGGTTCCTACTGACTTCAATG